CAGCGATGTGAAGCTCTGAATCAAATTTATTTTCTGTCTAAGTAGCGGGAAGGTTTTTATATATATTGTCTACTCCCAGTTAGTTTGCCATTGGACGCTCTAAGGTACCGACATCCTTTCTGAGGAAAGCCAATCTGTCGTTTCCTTCTGTTTTCAATGTGAACCGAATCGCTCGTGAGATTCAATGAATATTTGCAGCANCAGCAATCATTTGTTCCTTCCACTCTGTATAAGATAGACTATATCCTACACGTGGCAGAAGTGCAAACTCAGTTCCTCTGTTTCTTGCTTCAACGCTATAGTTTCTAATTTGGTCACGAGTAGTTCCGACAATTAACCCAAAGACATTCTGTCTAGTTGACGGTAAAAGTTCCAATCTAGTATAAATTGAACATGCAATGCGCATCCGTTTGCAAATTTCTCCATTCCTATGTGCCCCCTTCAAAAGAAAAAGATGACTGAGCTCCCTTGGCCCACCGAGTAGTCTCTCCTCCAAATTCGGAGTAATTTAAACGGTGGGATGAACAAACAAGCCCTTAGATGATCATTATGAAACCCATATCCATATCCAGCGTCACCCAATTCCCAGTTTATTTAATAATGCATATCGACGGGAATCGGTCTGATTAGAAACAGCTGAATATAAACTTTTCCATCAATTACCACTGTAGTCATAGTAGTATGATAAACAAGTTTCGTTTCCCTTCTGTGATCGAACCGATTTACTGTCGCATAATGCCCACATCCAGTGATTGAAATCGGGTGTTAAAATGATAAACACTCCAAATATGCTTTCAAATGCCTCTTCCATGACCATGCGACGTAATCTTCCCCTATGAATGTTCGTTTTATCCCTTCATGCATTGGTCCTGAATGGTATTGGGCATTGTAGTGATTGTGTCACGAGTACGCTCGAATCACGATACAGCTTCCAGGGAACTAATCAAGAGACGAATTTACCAACCAATCCTATGGTCTCAGGTGGATTGGCTGAATGTAACAAGATACTTAAATGAAGCATATTATTGTCGATTGGACGTTGCAAAATCTGCCAATGGCAGCTTGACGCTTGCGATATTTATTTGCATGATTTTCTAAATAGAATTAATTGTATCCACCACTCGTCTTGGTTCTACCTGACTGGGTTTTAAGTCCGAATCCGGGTTCGCGCTAAACGATTCTGATGCCTATTCCCAATGCTATAAACATTCTAGGTTTGGAGTATTTAATTTCATCGTAGTTCTTTCCACACACCCCGATCTTCCAGTCCCACCTATAGCCCCCTCGTTGGTTCGCGAGACGAGGCGTGTTGAAACTGCCCAGTCGACGAATCATCGGAAAGCAGCTTTGTTTACTTGTTTTTATTCTTCCATTCAGTCCGATTTCAACAGGTCTGTTTCACCACTAAATCTATTGTTATCAAATAATCTGATCAATACGGCTTTTAATTGGGTCGTTTGTGACAAACTTTAGTAACAGGCAACCTGGATATTCCCCCGACACGGCAAACAAAATAATGATGATCTGCTTCGTGTAACATATGTCACAGATGACATCCAGAGATTTGTAGCTCACCTGACAGGTCGCGAGGAGAGTCTTCCGTCAGTGGAACTGTCCCGTCGACAAGCAGTGTGTGTGTGTGTGTGCATGTGATTAGTAAAAATCTAATTGGGAAAATATGCTTGGTTTTGGTTTTGGACAGCAAATCAGAACGTTCATAGTTGCAACAACACCTTAGTCCTGTTTTGAATTGTCTTCCCCCCCCTCCACATTTCCATAAAAATGAATAGTATGCGGAAATCAAAAAGCACTCATCTGAACACCAACTTCCATGGGGATGATTAGGTTGATGAATCTTGGAGCATGAAAATGCGTTAAATGAGAATAGGAGAGCATTTGTTGCACCGTTACAATATTTCATCGCGCACAGAGCAATCAAAGCATGAAGTAAAATCTCGGGAACACTGTGCACCTTTTGCGACCGTGGTGGATCCTATTACCAAAAAGAATCCAACGATGAGACGCGGCGGAACACGGCTCACACGCTGATCGAAAGTAAGCCCAATTATCACATGACTCCCAACCAACTTGATCATTTATGGCTGTATTCAATGTGGGGGAACCAGTCGTTGTATGTTCCGCAAGGTCACTGCCCCTCGTTTATCTAAACTCCGAACACCAAGGTTATAACTGTGTTTCATATACATTCGTAGCGAACAATTTGGTACATGACTGTACCCGGAGGAGCTAATTAGATTAGTTTGTAAACTGTTCGTTCGGTTGATAGGTTTCCAAAGCTGACGCGAATTAACTAGAAGATAACACATTACTAGGTTTTCATTTCACGGCTTGTCTGTTATGTATATCAAAAAATCCATGGAACAGTCCGCTCAACGGCCTCACTATTCTCATACAAATATTAGGGTTACCTCTAGTGTACTAATCCATTAACTCTTTGGTTCTATAAGACTGAATATTACTTCTCTGATACATTTGATGAGGAATGTAGAACAGAAATCTTATTTGCACAACAAGTGATATCCACTTCCTACGTCATGGATACGCACTCAGTAGAAAGACCATTAAATGAACCATCTGAGCACAATTCAGCTTACAGTGATAATAATAATAATAATAATAAAAATGTTAGAGCGTTCATTGGTAACCCGGTATTCAACACCGCACAATCGCAGATAAGATAACACTCACATTTGAAGACACTTAATGCAAATCAAAATATTCATAAATGATTTTTTTCGTAAAAATATGAGGCTAATTTGTTTATCAAATAATTTTATGATGTTAATTCTTTTCAGGAAAATGTTTACAATACTTTAGAACCGAGAGAAGACAAATACTGCAAAATGTTAACATTTCTTTTAATCTCTTCAGTCGCTACAACGTAAAACAATGTGGTATTTATACATGCAAGTTTTTTATAACTAAAGTGAAAAAACGGACAATAGTCAGTGAAGCAGGGAGAGGGTTGGGTGGGAAATCAGTTCCATGGCAGTCTGACTGATTGTGTAAGAAACTTGTATGCGCTTGCTTGCATAAATACTAGATTGCTTTACGTTGTAGCGACTGAAGAGATTAAAAGAAATGTTAACATCTCGTATTGTTTGTCTTCTCTCGGTTCTAACGAATCTGATAAAGCGAACTCAGTGTTTTATGTTTATAATACTATCGAACATATTTTCTAGCATGATAAAATATCGTATAAACTTGTAGAAAAACTTGCTCTCAAATACGATGCACTAAATGTCTGGTGTAGTGCAGTATTTCGACATTTTGCTGTTTTCTGTCATTCACATTTGATATGGCCATGCGAATAGAGGATTAGCGCGTTCCTGGGACACAATGAGTGACGTGGTTTTCCTGTTTTTATCACCTAACTGGACGGTTTTGACTGTCTACCAGACAAACCAATAGTTTTTGAATACGAACTCAACAGGTGAATAGGTGAGACGATCTGGGTAATTCTTTCTATCGTTGTAAACGCTGTGTATTTCACAGATAACTCAATCACGTTCTCGGTGAGCTGGGATGCTCTCATTATCCCAGGCAGAGTGTCATGTCTGTCCTCTATCGACTTGCATCCATTTACTCGTGATCTCCAGGCAAACAAGGCGAAACACCGTCTGCAGAATAGGGTCACCAGGCAGTGTATACGTTAGGTGCATAGCTGTGTCCCATATTTCTAGTGTCTCGCTCTCTTTGCAAATCCCCCCTTTGTATACCCCTGAGGGGCGAATATGTAGGAATTTGAGATAACATGTCCTCGCCTGTGGCTAAATCTGCACCACTCAGAACCCCAGTGTGATCTCACGCAAAGTTGATGCGTTATGTTGATTAGTGCATCGTGCGAATCAGCTAGAGAATGCATCGCCATCATTATTGTTTTTTGGACGGGTAAAGAGACGGATTTTGGAGCAAAACATCTAGCCACATATAAATGTTTCATGTTACACCTTATAACTGCCCACTTGAGGGCATTCACATCCGCACAGAAGGAACATCTGCACCGGTTCATCGCAGTTGGCTAGTTGCGGATTTTGGAGGCATATGTCAAGTGTGTGTGACTCTGTTAGGTAGCTGAATTAGATAGATCATTTTCGCAAAGTCAGCTTGATAATACACGTAACTACCATGGCACAGCTGGGGTCGCATTACAGACAGACATCACTTATGCGAAACTGTAGCATGAAATCAGATTGGATTGGTTCCAAAAGAGTCGCAACCGCGGAGACTAGTGATGAGATACAAACGGCGATGTGTCTGTATTGGGCTCGCAAATCTGACTTATGTTATATTGAGTACAAGAGGAATGAAAAATATTCTGATCAGCTGCCTGGTAGTCTAGTGGGTAGTATGCTTGCGTTCTGCGTGTGAGATCCTGGGTTCGATCCCCCAGTTGGCTCGATGGATTAAGCCCGCTGATGACAACCAACAAGTTGGAAACAGCTGTCCCGTGCTTCCTAGTTTATTAGTTCATCTTTTATTTGCTCTTGTGTGTCTCAACAAGCCTTATATTTAGTAAGATACAAAATATCCCAATGTTATCGGAAATACCAGGTAATTCTGGACGTCTCCCTGCCTCTCGAAAGGATTCATTTTTTATGCCATCATAGGCACTGAGGACATTGGCATACATTTAGGTAAAGCGTCACATGGTCAATGGGACAGCTTGTGACTGTTGAATCTGTAATGTGCTATCTACTCACAACAGCAATTTGTTCACTCAAGTTACTTGAAGTAAACTACATGAATGTTTTGGATGGGAGACACTGATTGCATGTTAGAATGAATCAGAATAACAGATACCACTCAACAACCTCGGCGTAATTTCTATCCACATACATGTTTATGGGAGTGGTGTTTCTGTTGTTGTTGTTGGTGGTGGTAGTGAAGGTGTTGGATCTGATGGTATTGGTCGTCTTCGTTGTTGTCGTGGTGGTGCTGGTGGTGCTGGTGGCCGACTGCTCTGACTTCGTGGTCAGGATGGTGGTGTTGGTTGTAGTCTTTGTTGTGGAGGCCATGGTATTGATGTTCGCGGTGGTGATATTGATAATTGTAGTGGTGGTATTGTTTGTGGTGTTGGTGGTGTTAGCGATGGCAGCGGTAGTGGTGGCGATGGTGACGGTGGTCATGGTCGTCGTCGCGCTGATCCTGACCATGGTGGTGCCGTTAGTTGTAATGTTGGTTTTATTGCCGGTGATGATGACTAAAATGATGCTGGTGGTGGTGAAGAAGGTGCTGTTTTTTGGTTGTAGTCGTCGTTGCGTTGATTTTAATAAAGATCGGGGTTTTCAGCGGCTTCATTGATGATGGACGTTTATTACGGCAATTTTTCCCGGAACACTCTGTTCCATCCTGCTGGAAAATATGTCCTCTGTTTGATTACAGACAAGCCTAAACGTGTAAAACATTTTACAGCGTTTAAAGCAAGCAAGCTGTAAAACATCGGACGGGGTGATTGGGACTGACTGCGGTCATTTATTTTCGCAGACAAATCCGCTGGTCCGAATGGGTGTGCCTAATAGAGCACAATAGATCACAAAATCGAACTATCATTCCTAAACACTATCCGGGTTGCGTTAGGCTCTGCAAAACTCGTAAATCAGGCTGTACACGTCTGGGGTTGACTCATTTGGTCAGTCGTTGGCACTGTGGGGTTTATATCTGTCAAATACATGCGACGAAAACCAAAACTCAAGTATTATCTATCCTAGAGGCTATGGGTTTTACATCAATTACACCGACAAGGGCAGAGAATCACGAGATAAACGTGTCAAAACTCGAAAAATATTTTAAACGGGTCCGTGATGAAGCATTCGCATATGTATCATATTGTACCTCTTGAATAAATAAAGAACACAATTATTTTGTAATTATTCGTTTGTTGAATAACATTCTAATTTTGTCTATCAGTCGGATAATGTACAGTTATCAGACCTTCGGGATAAGGACTATATTATAAGCTTCCAGCAATTTATCCTCGACCAGTGCAGATGAATTGTTTGTTTGCATGCTTCCTCGTAGAACAGTACCACGGAAATGCCCAAATCCTTGAATCTTCCGAAGGCATAGGTGGTGCATATGGAACATTCTTAGTGGGCGTGAATCTTATAACTCTGGCACGGGGATTATGTACCTCAAACATCGTGAAAGATAAAACGCGATTGTTGTACATTTCAATGAAGTACTAATAATAACGATCTGAAAGCGTTGGTTTAAGCGCTATGCCAAGGAACGGTCGGTCAACTTCAATATCTCCAATATGTTCACCCCACTGTAAATTGGAAAAACATAATCAGATACCATTGTAACAAATAGAGTAAACATCCGCTTTTGATTTTTAATTAGACAATCATATGTTCTTTTGTTCAAATATGCCTCTGTCACGAATAGTACGAATAACGCACAATAGGGATTGGGTGGAATTCTACAACTGACATGTTGCTGATATTCCCCACATAATTAATTGAATGTGAATACCACCGCTGAACTTCTAAGTACATTCTACATATTTAGCTCACCCACTGTTGAGTTTACTTTCGGTAAGAAAACAATAAGTGTGATAGATTCCGGCACGTTGGCTACATAGCCCGCACTTACGTTTACCTTCACAACTCCGGTGCGGTATTTAAATATTACATCAATTGCCAAACGTGGTTTTAAGTGAACATAGAAATTGGTAGCCTCTTACAACTGCATAGAGGCTACATCGTGTAAGCTGACTACAGCAGTAAAGAAAGATGTTTCAAAGATATTTTTCCTTTCCAAGTCAAGGAAACGTTGCTCACTTTTGCGCTCTCCTGAAACATAGTCCAGTTTGCGTTTCTTTAGGCCAAACCTCTGAGTCTAAATAACAAAGGTTTATCTAAACTTCTGCACGAGTTTCGTTTCATTGGATTATGTTTAGGGTGAATGATACCACGAGCAGTTATCGTGGCCGACATCCGAACCAATGCGATCGATATGACCAATCTGATTTTGAACATAGCTGAAAGAATCGAGATAAGCCCAGAAAATGGCCTTGTACTTTCAACTCCCAGGATCGAAGATAGCACAGGTTTCAAGAACCATCACCATCTTCAACGCTTCCATCTGTCTACCCCTTCCACCATGACCCAAGCTCTTAAATGCACACACTGATACAAATATGAGGAACATCCGGTCGTTAAACTGAATTGCTTTTCTGTCTGTAATTATTCCATATTCTACTAGTTTGTGATGTGAACTTTTATCTGCGTTGACCATGCGCTCATAACGAATATGATCTATTAAACGTGAGGATGAGGATCGATTTTATCGCTGCATAATTAACCGCGCCATTGAAACATCCCCCCCGCCCCCCACACTCCATCCATCGGTGATTGCACCGAATCCAACCTGCTCATGGAATCAGTTCCTTTGTTCGTTGACATGATGTTGGGTCGCGATTGACAATTAATGCGCAGCATGTAAAAACGAGCATTCAGATAAACGACCCACAACAAATTAGTTGACATTGCCCATAAAGGAACGGCTAATGGTATGCGGCTTGAAGTTTGAATATTTTCGAGAGAAATAAACAAAATAATATTCGTTCCAGGTAACCTATTAAAAGGATAGGAACACCAATATTCAGTATTTGGATACAATTATTCTTGAATTAGATCTCCGCATAAGGTGTGTTTAATCTCCCTTTTTCAGATCATTAACAATCGAATGACCAATCTGTATTAGGTTTTCCATAGCTGGGAAATAGTAATGGCATGGTCATAACTTTTTGTTAGGATAGCCAACAAAATACCGGCCAGTTTTTGAGTTTACAATTGGGCAAAGTGAACCCTTTCGGTGCCGAGACTGAGTATTGACCGTTCCGTAATGAACAAAACCGATCACATTGTCGTTGTCGATGACGTAGATGAAGATTTACGCATACTGCTACTCCTCCGGATGTGTACGAGTAAAACTGAACCGTGAGAAGCAATATAGATTCACAATTAGATAAGGGGTATATGACAGTCATGCGTGTTTCAGTGTTGCCCGTTTCACAAAGTTATCTATAAAATAGAGCAACAGTATTAGATATCAGTTTCACTTGAAACAATCCAACCCAATCTTTTCTATGTGAGACGAGAACAGGATCGCTAATCACAACTGGGCCATCACCAAGGTCGAGTCAATGTGACTGATCATGCACGTTGTTTGCATAGATCAGGATTGAGATTGTGCGATGACCAGGGCCTCGGCGAGTTTCAGTATTTCTGTGTTTGTTGTGTTGCAGATGGTCTGAAATGCATGGGTTGGGAGAGACACAATATTTTTTTCGAACATGTGGTGTGTTATCGAAGATCGAGGTTCTTTTTGTTTCTTCGATGGTTCTTCGCCTTCTGAAGCCACACCGGGATGTATTCTGCCATTCGTTGCCGTAAGTATCGGCCTGCCCTGACAGTGTGGATGGTTGAGCACCCAAACTTGAACTGGTAAATGCAGTTTGACTTGGCGTAGAGGGAAGCAATCATTCTTTCACCGATGGCGTTGACATATGAGTGTAGCGAACCAGATGACCGGTTGAACTGCATCATAGCCAAGCTTGAGGGAATAGTTTAACCGAATGCTGTCTAATTCGCTCATGTCGTGACCTTTGTATGGCAACTTCATAAAAGGTTTTCATTTTATTTAGTTTTGACTATAAATGCAACTGGAAATCAATTTGCTTGAAGTGGTTCTTTTAATAGGTCGATTTCATCATTCACAGAGTCGTCTGTGCATATTTCATGGGCTGGATGAAATAGTGTGCAAACGAGACCAATTTTGAATCGCATAGGAGTGAAACGCGTGAAACGCAAGTGCTGGCCAGACCACGTGTTCTTTCGGAAGACAAATCTTTTTATTGATCCATCCGGTCGATGAGCAAATGTTTCTATCTCACAGCTTGAGGAAGTCGTTTCGTTCATCGTGCCAGGTTAGCTTGATGTTGCGGTGCATTGTATTCAATCGACGTAATATTTTTTTTCTCCACCTTCTTTGATTTTACTCGTAACGAAGATGACGTCAACATAACAAAAGTATGGATCTAGTTTTGAAACATCCTTTTCGAGTCTTCCTTCTAGATGAGCGAAACGAATATTCGCAAGAATCAGTCCCAGTGGACTTTTCATGACTACGCTGTCTCTCTGCCGATATACTCGCTGAAGTAGGAAAATCTAACGTTTGATGTACAAAGGAGATAAAGTCCTGATAGTTAAATAATAAGTAATCAGACTTGGAATTTCTATTTCTGAAGTGTCTAGAATCAGTCCGATGCTCTCATGCAGTGGAACATTTGTGGGTAGAGATTTGACATCCATTGTGAAAATCTTTCCTTCAACTTCACTGTAAAGGTTAATCAGTTTGGAAGACTCCACACGCCAGTCAATTCAACCTTCACTCAGTTTTGGACTAATGCCCTGGCTCCGTTTGACTCTCACCCCGCCTTGTAATGGACGTATCTGGTGTTCGGATCACCTTGGATCATCGCCACCAGAGTATTGCATATTCACTATTCAGCAAATCACTTGAACTCAACCCATTTGAGACGCTTCAATGGACAGATTGATATCTGTTCACCCAAAGCTGTCAGAACTTATGACTTTATTCGAATACAGCATGGTATGATATGATAAAAACCATTTCCCCATAACCGTTAGCATTCCAGCCTTATTCCCGCCGTATTTATCCTCTCTCCACCACCTTGAGGATACATTTAGTCTTCACAGCATGATGGATTTGGTGACATATTGAAACGAGCAATTATGTTCTATGTTGGTTCTTGTAACCCGTGAACCCCTTCTCTTTCCTATATAAATGAATACTACTCATTCCGCATCAAAGGTATTGCTAGTTGTGCCTTACCGCTCGGTTTACTGTTATAACAACATCGCTTAT